TGCTGCGACTCATGAGGCTACGGCAAGAAAGTCATCTGTGGACTGAAAAGCTTTTTATTCATGCAGGCCACATTTAAGAATACTTAAATGACTTTGTGTTAGTACTTTCGTCTGTACATATTTCTAAATATTATACATAACGTTAATTTAATTTAATTCCAATTAAACAATAACCGTCACACCCCTCATGAAACCAGCCGTGCAACAAAATGCATCAGATGTTGGTGTTTGCAGAGCTGGAGCCACAAATCTGCACAGAGTTCAAGGTGCGTTGCAGCAGTCAGAGCCACTTGTCTGAGCAATCCTGCACAGCCGTGACCTTCAGCTGGTTAGATTCGGTTCTCAAAGTGGAAAACAAGATGGCACGGGGAACGCCAAGATAACAGGAATCACTCAGTAAATGTTAGCTCTGACACAGTTCAGCTTAATTTGCATAGTAAATGTAACAGGTCGCAGCTCTGGAGGCCATGTTTTAATGGATGACATAATGGATTATGCTGATGGAAACATGCAGCTCCTTGGATCACCAGTAGATGCCACTCTTTGCTTTGCAGTAGTGGAGATGGAACAATAGCAGACTGCCAGAGCTTTGTTAAATGACCTATGGTGCGGCTGCCTGTGCCGGCTCTCTTAAATGAGATATTGTTTTCATATCAGAAGCACTGTTTGGGCTTAGATGAGGATTTAGACGACTTGAGACAAAGACAGTGGCTCCAGAATTTCCATTGTGTTGAGTTCAGGAACAAAAGCAGTGTTTGTGTTTCCTGATCAAAAGACAAGTGGCAGCAGTTCTCCAGTTTTAGAAACAGTCATGTTCCCTCGTTAGCCCCCTGCAGATCTGTGTTTGTTCCGCATCCCGTTTTATGTTTGACAGGCAATTCTTTTTTGTGTGTCTTTTTATACTTTTCCTTTTGATGATGTAATCTTCCTCTATATCTGTATATAAGATAATTTGTAGGAAACCAAAAGTAATGTAAACAGCAGAACCTCCTGTTTTTTAATAACCATGATATTCTGTGGATAGCTGCTGCAGTTGTGTTGTGAGGTTCAGACAGGGACAGACAGCGATCAGGCATCCGTGGTCTCTGATTAGACGTCGCTGTGATAGAGTCTGCTCTCAAATCAAAGACATCAACTTCTTCAATTTCTTGTTTTCGTGCATTCACACTTTTCTCCCGCCCCCTTCAGTCTCTTTCTATGTCTGTCTCTGTCATATATTTAAATCCAGACGAGCGGTGTGATTAATAAGTGTCTCTTAGTCACTCACACCGTCTGATTGGCCATTAGAACATGCTGTGGGTCCCGCAGCAGGCTGTCATAATACTATGCCATTTTAAAGACAGAATTGTTTTCTTTTTTTATTGGATGGCATGACTGGGCCAGTTGTCCCTGTTCGACTTAGAGCAGCCACAGGATTTCACCACAGTACCAGCTTCTTTTTCTCATTTTCGATCACATGCCGCCTGACAGGGTTCATCAATACTGATTAACTTAATCATCTCTCGTTGAGAAAAATAAAATAGAAGAAGCTGCTCCCTGCCCCTCATTCTGTCTCCTGCCACAGTGCAGGCGCCTCATGTGACCAATCATCCTCATGTAAGTCACCATCTGTCCTCATCACCTGTCACATTAAAGGCAATTTTCTTAGTCACATCCATCCTAAGGTCTTATAGACACTGAGACAGGGTAATGAACTGCAGTACTTTGAAAGTACTGACCAAACTTTCTAACATAAAAGTTTCAAAAGCTGTGAAGCACTGAAAGCCGTCATTGAATCGGTCAGATTATTAGTTTTATTAGTTTTTATTCTGATGTATACCCTCATTTTAGTTCAGTCAATTGTGTTTGGAAAACAGGACGCACTTAATGACTTTGGGCTTGTTTTTGGCAAACCAATATATTCAACTATCAAAGTCAATCAAAGACAAATGATGCTTTCCATTGGGGTCACCCTAAGTCACAGTTATTAGTGACTTGGGCAAGAAGGTTATGTTTTTGCCTCTGACCAGGGCTGATCTGGAAATTTGTTATCACATTTTCACCAATTTCCTGGGGAACAATTAATTATTAAAAATCTGGCGTATTTTAACTGATATGTAAGAGTGCGAGCACTAAGCTGTGGTTGAATTAAAAGGAACTCTTTGGCCTTTGCAGAGGTATGTGCTCTTTTGAGCGCCATTCTAGTTTTAAATTATAGTGATTATTTGCATTGCCTTTCAGTGTTTGGATAAGCTGGGTTTAACTGCAGGTTTTGTAATAATCCCTGTATTTAATGACAATACGGTACAACGTAGAATAGTCTGGTATCTGAACCCTTCACAGGCCAAAATGAGATGGTAATCACAAAACCTGTCAAGCACAATGCCGGTGTTTTCCAGTTTGGTTTGGTGTCAGTTTCAGTTCAGCTTACAAAAACGGCCTCTGACCCACTGTCAGTTGGGATTGGCTCCATCTATAAAATACATTATGCATCAAGATCATCAGTTCAGACTAAAAACACATTTTTCACAAATCCACATAGAAAATACACTGTACTGCCCCATCCAACATTTATAAGCAGGGAGAGATTGAATTTATTTACTGCAGCATCTCGACTCACCTGCCGCTGTGTGATCATCAGCTGATAGGGATTCACTGTCATAGCTGCTGCCTCATGACGCCTGCGCTCCATTCATTTTGTTTTCTCTACTCTAAGAATTATGAAACAAGTGCCACGCTGGCCCAGCCAAATGGAGTGCGGCCACAGTGATATACGTGGTGCTGTAGTTAGCAGTAAACAACGCGTGACACTGACAGACCACCATAAACTCGTTTATCATGGAGCGATGCCAAGCAGTTAGAGCAATGGTGTTCACTCTCAGAGCCCCAGCACTGCTTATTTACTCCACTTCCCTGAACTACTCTTTAAATATAGCGGATTATCTGGATCATGTTTGTTTCATACCAAATTAAATTACTTTGTTGAGATCATAACCACCATTCCCACTAGAACGGTGACTGTTACTGTAAGTGTTATTTATCATATTATTTAATATGATTTACTGTGATTTGTGTTCTAAAACAAACCGTGAAGCCGAAGGCAAATTTCCACATCTGTGAACAATAAAGATTATTCTTTTTATCTGGCCAAACCAGAGCAAATGATTCCAATGTGAACTTTGTAGTGCTGGAATGGAAGTTGGTTTGAGGGAAGAACAAATAAATCAGTCACAGATGTTGAAAGACGTGTTTGATGCCCCTGATGTGTTATTAACAAGAAAGCCATCAGAGCGGGGAAATCAAACAATAGTCACTAATAATCACAAGGTAACCATTAAAGTCATTAAACTTAAAAGAATGACAATGTGACATTTCTCATGATAGTTATTGATATCCATAATTTATAGCACAATTTCTGTCTTGATATTGATCTTGGCGTTATTGCCCAGCCCTACAGGTCATTCTACAATACCTTGATTTATTCAGTGACGTCTGTAGCTAAGGACATTTTTAGTATTGAGGAAAAAAAACAGCATCTGAACAGGGAGTACATGTTCTTAGTACATTTAAAGAAGTGGATATCATACTCTGCAGACACATTTTGAGAAACCTGAATATGCCCTGGCTTCTTTTGTATGCAGGTAGAGCTTAGATCTAAATGACATTGTAATAATGATCAACATGCTGAAGTGAAATTGTGGCTGTTATTACATTGATTTTATTGCCTGTCGCTCTTCTCTTTCATCATTTGTCAAAAGAGAAGGAGAAAATAACGCAGTGGTAAAAGCAGCAGTGTCCTGACGCTGGGTTTAATCCTCGACAGCTGAGATAACTCACATGATATAGAAACGACAGAAAGGTTGGATGTGGAGGAATGAAATAACAGCGTCCCTGCACCGACGCAGATGACTAGATCAGACACATGGAAAACAATAATCTGTAATAGAACCCAGTTTAAAACTATTTCAGTTAAATGAGCAATAAAGACGAAGGCACTTTATAAAGAACTCTACAAAGAAAGAAGCAAGTGTCACAGAGTATTTGAGGAGGTGCTGGTGTGTAGGCCGGGGTGTTAGCATGTCAGGGATGTGGGAAGGAGATATTAGTCACCGACCGCAGCGCTTTGAATTCTGCCACGACACTTATCTCAGAGTCAGTGGAGAGCAAAGTTAGACAGAGTTGGAGGTCAGAGAAGTGGGGGGGGGGGGGTTACAAGTATTTGCTCATCACTCCCATCACATCTGTGTAATCATATCGGGGGAATGATTGAGTCGGAGCCTAGACGCCAAACACAAACTATGTTCTACTACAGCAATAAACGGTTGAATGTGAGTTGTCTGTTAATAATAATTATAGAATACATTTTTATATATTTGCCGATATACCTGTATCAGAAATGTTTTACTTTACGCCCCAAAAAATCCATAACGGTGATGCTCTAATATCATCTCAGTACTAATACTGTGCTCTATATAAACGTATCCGTCATCCCCACGTAGATTGATTTTCTAACGCTTGTATTGATATGTCTTGGTTTTACAGCGGCGCTGATGGTTGCCAAGAACATGGCAGCTACAGCATATGTTATTTTAGTATCTCAGCAAGTCGTGATACAGTCTTCTACTCAAATCAAAACCTTGAGTAATAATATATTAGATCATATGAAGAGATGATCATCCCATATATCTTAAGTAATTATTTCCAAATATGTTGCCTTTAACTAATTGGTGATATATTTAATCCAGATGGTAATAACAAGATCTTTGTTGAGTAATGTTGAGTAAGATACAGCGGGGACGCTTAGCTGTCCAATCTGCAATCTGAATGGAAATATAATGAGTAAAAAACGAATTAGCCAGAGATCCCACGTGTCCTCTCTCTTCCTCATCATTTCTCTTCCTCTCTTCTTCTTTCCTCCCTCCATCCTTGTTCTCCTCTTATTCCCTCTCTCTCTGCTGGGCCGTCTCAAACTGCTCTGAATGAATGGGGTCTTTACTGAACTCACAGACAATCAATCAGCCGTGCGCTGTCTCTGGCGGCTGGCTGTCTCAGTTAGACGGAGCTCGAGGGGGCCAGCGGTGGTGAAGGGTCTGGTGCCATCAGGGGACGTCTTGGAGTAAATCTGTTTCATACAGCTCAGTCTGAAGTTACACAAGTGAACCTATAAGTTAGACTCTCTGTGGAGCAGGTTACTAGTTTAGCCACTGCAGATAATTGCATCTTTTCTTTTCTTTCCTTTATTATTCCAGCACATTTTTTCATGTCAGCAGTTTATTTTTTTAGGCTCAGGGCTGTGGCCATGTTGTGAAACAAGGATTAAATTATTTTTTAGTTTTCCCAGTTTAAAAAAAAGTCCTCGACAATGAGAACACTGACCAAAATAATAGTAGTAGTAATAAAGTCAAAGTTAGGCTGTTAAATGAACTGTAAGAGGTGTCACAGACCTCCAAACTTGATTTTTGTGCAATATTTCTGCAACTGCTGAAAGCTGAAATTTCATATTTGTTTAGGGAAACTTAAATATCATAGAGAATTGTTATATCTTCATGAATATAGTCTAGTAGCTTTTTGAGGTGATTATAGACCCTCACAATGCAGACTCAACCTTTCAGAGACAGTTTCATTACAAAACTTGATACCAGCAGTCAGACTTTAATTGGCCAGATAACCCTGAGTGCCCGGTCTCACCCTTCGAATATACTACCCTAATTATTACCCTGTGCTCTGGCAGGGTAATTAATTAATTTCATATGAGATTGTAATTAGGGCAGCGTGTGCGGTGCAGTGGTTGACGGGGATCTTTCTGTGTGGAGTTTGCCTTTTTCCCCCTGTGTCTATGTCGGTTTTCTCCACGACTCTGGCTTCCTCACACTGTCCAGAGACAAGCAGATTGGGGTTAGGTTAATTGGAGACTCTAAATTGGCCGTAGGTGTGAATGTCTATGGTTGTTTGTCTCTATGTTTTGGTCCTGTGATACCCCCGGAGACCTGTCCAGGGTGTACCCTGCCTTTCTCCCCCCTGACCCTCAAAAGGATAAGCGCTGTATATAATGGATGGATTTAAATTAGTTCTTACGTTGCATCAAATCACGGACTACACATTATCTCAAGGGAATTTAGAGAAAACAGTGTATCCTAACTATAAAAGGTGATGTAAACCCATGGTCATCACAGGATTATAAAACTTGATATTTGTTTATCTCTACAACCACACCTCTTTTTTATATTTCCGACATGGTGTGCAATTTTTTTATTCATTTGTTGTTTTTAGTGACAATTAATTACCATTTTTTCTTGCTCTTTCTCTGACAGGTTAATACATGGAGGTCAGCTTCTGAACGGTTTAGCTGGCCCGACCATAATGAGCGCTGGCCCCTACCTCTCAACAACGTGGTTTGCTCCCGACCAGAGAGCCACCGCAACGGCTGTGGCGACGCTCTTCTCCTACCTTGGAAGCGCTGTGGCATTTGTAATTGGACCTCTTGTTGTGCCGTCGCCCAATGACACCCAGAAAGCCCCCATGATGGTAGCGGCAGTTTCCGACAGCTACATCCGAGACAGGATCCAGCTTGTTTTGTATGCAGGTACAGAACCTCTCAGGTGGCGGAGGATCAATAGCACATCATTTCGACATCATGTCAGCACTGTCAAGGGACACAAATACAATCAGGAGAGGGGGATCCAAGAATTTTGCACAAACACCAAAAAACTCCCATTGCAATCTTGATAACTGCCCCTCTGAAAAATAGATTGCTGGGACTGTTACGCTTAACTGACTCAGAAAATTAAAATCATGCTCAAAAAAGAAACAAGCATCCTGTAATAGATTGAGGCAGTGGCCTTTGTTTAACCTAAGGTAATATAGTTACTCATTTTTTAAAGGGCAAAGCGGGATCACTTTATGAGCCAAGTTTTAGAAGTTATCAAAACAAAAAATGACAGAAATATGAAGCACATAACAATTTGTATTGTCGCAACGACTACATCTACACATGAGGTAGAGCAACAAGCAGGTGTTTTTCAGTGTCTCAATACATGATATAATGAAAAGGGAACATGCATATGGCTGCAATTGACCTTTTTAGAAATAACTATAGACTGTATATACACGTGGACGACATCTGGAGTACAAGTCATAAACCTCCTCTATGTTAGCAGATGGGACGTGGACCAAAGTTAAAAGTGAAAATACAAGCCAAATGAATTTCTCTCTGAGCCAGCGATCAAGATCCGTTGGCTCTCCGAAAGTAAAGCCCTGGTGGCTGGCTGCAGTATAGCTCATAAACTCTGCCTCTGCCATGTTAGAAGATGGTTTCTGCCATTTTAGGTAGTTCATAAGTTGGGTTATTTGCATATTTATTTATGATTGGTTGAGCGCTTGTTTAAATAACCAAACTGTAAAATGAGTTTCTTTGCCAAGAAAACAATGAGATATCAACCAGTACTTTGTTATATTGCACACTAATATAACATGGGCATCTTTCTTTCTAGTCTAGTACAGTTTTCTGTTCATTCCAGAGATGGTTTAGATGACCTCACAGTGACGTGTTTTTTTTTTTTTTCTTTTTTAATTATTCCCTTTTCCTTTTTTCTCCTCTGGCCATGTAGTTTTTTATAATGTCAAATTGGTCTTGCTGCCTTTTCCATGAAGATAACCTGTGTGTCTCTCTTATCTGTGTCACTGTGCTCCGGCAGAGTTGGCAGCAATTGCAGTGCTCTTTACAGCGGTCCTAGTGTATTTTCCATCACGCCCCCCAATGCCTCCCAGTGTGGCCGCGGCGAGCCAGAGACTCAGTTACAGAAGCAGCATCTGCAGACTTCTCAGGTAAACACACACACACACACACACACACACACACACACACACACACACACACACAAAGTAATCTGAAAGACCAATGTCACCTGACGCCTTTTGTTGAAACCATTCTTTTAGTCATTCACTGTGCCTAACTTGATATGTCCTTGATTTAACTCGAGTGCAAAAAAAGGTGAAACTTCAATAGTGCATTGAAATCAGGTTCAGATGCTCTCATATTTTAAAACATCAAACTCGTCAGGAGATTTCTGCAACACCTCCAGTGCTTTATAACAACTGTGTCTACCAATCCATTAGGTCTAGTTTGGTATCTGATTTGCTGATGCAAAGAGCTCTTCTTTTTCTTAGAAAGTTAAAGTGACAGACTCTGGAGAAGGATATGGAATCTTAATGAAGGGGTCTGCCACTCACCATCTGCTTGGGTCGTTATCAAAGAAACCCCAGCGTTCCCTCTGGATTAATTACTAAGCTCTAATACACTGGTCGCTGCTGAAATCTACATCATCCTCTGCATCTATACCATCAGAGTCTCTTATCAATATACTCTGAGGACACCAGTGGAGCATGTAGTTGAAGAACGAGGGAGATAATCTATCTTGACAAGGTCCTGAATCTCAGTATTAGTTGAATGCATATATTGATGTTTCATCACCTTTGTCTATTTATTTTCCTCCCCGGAAAAAGGAGCAAGGAGGAAATCTAGAGACAACGATTGAGTCACATTTCCCTTTAACTCTGCAACACCCCACCCCTCTTCTTACACTTTGTACTGAGGACATATTTATCCTGCAAGCTTTTGCTGTGTTTGTGGGGGAATGAGGCCTTTGGCAGTGGCCAGGGATTAAAGGGCTGGAGGAGGGAGAATAGACGCTGGGCGATGGCAGCTGGGGAATTGGCCTGCCTCTGTTGGCTTCATCTTGGTCCCCTGTAGTAAGAAATAGCTTCACTACTGCACCAGGCTTTCTGTAAGCCCTCTGACCAGCATCGACTGGTTTAACTCGCTGTAAGAGCTTCCTCAGATAGATGGCAGGGACTGAGCAGATAGCAACTCAATGCATAGTTTTGGACAAACACACACTCACATTGGCTAAATTAACTAGGCCATCCAGCTGAGAGGGTTTCTGTTCCACTTCTGATAGGCAGCCTTCCAGTGACCTGTTTGGGCAGCATGTTGTATCTCAGTCCAGCAGCATCAAGCCTCAGATTTATGCTGCAGAGACTGGACATAAAGGAGGAATATAGAGTCTAGTGTCGGTAGATATAACAATTGAAACACAAGAATGAAAGGTTAAAGCTTCACTACTAAATAAAAGGCAGGGTTACGTTTGATGATAAGTCAACAGAAAATCATCTTTGGAACTTTAAGCCCTGTTAAGCTCATTGTTTTGGGTTTCAACAAAGCTATAAAAATGGAGTTGGCAGGGTTTGAACCTACGACCTTCTTGTTTGAGGTCGACCCTGTTCCGAAATAAATGCTCATGTTACTTTGTGTCTACTTGATGTTTAAACTTCAAAACTTAATAAGAGCTCTTTTGTGACAGAGGCTGAGCCTGAGGATTCTGCAAGTCCTGCTCCTTTCCCCCCAGATTACATGGGACCACAAGAGTGTGAACCATTTTTTTGTAAGGTAACATGAGGCAAGAGATTTCTGTGGCTCTAAATATTAAGTTGGTTGTGACCTAATAAATGTTTTAGTGGGAAGTTTTATAATGACATCGATGAAGAAACTGTATTTAAAGTGGATTTGTGGCATCTGGGTGATAACCGGCTCTGTTTAATAAGGTCAGCATCAGTTCAGAAACTACCACAGAGTTTGTGGAGTTGTTTGGTGCATGTTTTGTAAAGTTTCTATCTTGAGAAGTTGACAAAATGATAACAACTTCTACCCTTCAAAGTGACAGTGGGTGCCAACTAGTCAGTTTGTCCACCTGATTCCTATCTGTGGATGTATCCGTTCATCCATTCAGCCTGCCAGCGTACGAGCACTGGTTAATGATCTCCAGCTTGATGAGTGCGTCCAGCTGCTCACATCTGCCTCCACAGCAGCAGTCTAATTAGAAGCCTGAATGTCCCGACACATGGTGTAAAGTTATGATTGTATTCTGATCGCAGTCTGAGGGAATGCTAAACAGCCCGGAGCCCGAGTATTGATGTCATACTCACTCTAGCTATGGAAGTTGTCATTTTGATGCATTGATCCCCAGCCAGGTCTGCCAAGGACAAATGGCACTTAGCTGATGACACCGGCAGCTTTGAGACTTATTCGGAAATATTTCATCACCAGCGGGAAGGGAAGTGAAAAAAAAATGTCCCGGCTCTTTACCCAGTAGCTAGCGGGTGCTTGCGTGTGTTTGGCTATCCAAATAAGCTCCCAGACGGAGAAAAAGGTGCATGGATATTGATTTCCTGCTGTTGTGGTTAGGTTAATGAAAAGGGTACTGGGAGAAAAGCGAAGAGGGTGCTCCATCACGGAGCTTTTATGACTGTCCCTCTTTACTCTCTGCAAGGCCAAATAGCTTCATACTGCGTAGGACAAGACGGGCCTGCAGCAGAGAGACAGGCTGTGTTTGTTTTCCATGTGGAGCAAAGCTTTCTGCAAAAAGAAGCGATTCATTGGCTGAAGTGCACCAGTGTCAGGGAAAGGGGAAGGGTGTGCATATGTTTACAGCAACAGTTCTTTTGCTCTACAGCTTTGGTATCTTGGGACAAGTTCCTGCCATAGTTTGCAATTCAAAGACTGGCTCAAAGTGTGCGTGTGTGTGTGTGTGTGAACTTTGTGTGTGTTTCGAGCGTTTGAAGTCACAGTGGAGATGCGGGAGGCCAAAAGAGTTCTCCAGATGTCCCTGCACGATACTGCTCAAGATGCTGCCTGCATTGTAATGAAGGGAGCAGGTGGAGAATAAACAGCATTAAACAGTGTCCATAAACAAAAACAAAAAAAAAGAGGAGAGCAGGAAAAACAAAACAATCTATGAATCTGCTGCCTGCTCTGGCAGCCCGGCCTCGTTTGTCAGACGCCCAGCGATTCTAATCACATTGTTAGGGTTGAGGAGGTGGCACCGATTTAAATCAGCATGCCACCTCATTGGGCGAAGGTGATTAGTGTGGGTGTTCCAAGTGATTGTAATTGGATTGCATGAGAGTGGAAAGGGGCCATATACCCTGAAGAAGTGAGCTCTCTATGTGTATGCAGGATATGCATACATAACTAAACATATGGAAGTTATTTTTTCCCTCTCGCATCTCGCTCGTTTGAGCTGATGAGATACAGCAGACGGCTCCAAACGAAACCCTGCAGCACACTATCTGTAGCCTGAAGCGATTTATCACAGCTTAGAGACGGCGCTTGTTTTCATCTCTTATTGTGAAGTTTGATTTCATATGATAACTTGATTAAGATTCATCAGCTGTGACTACATTCAGTATAGGGCTGAAAATTGAAATGTAGAAAGTAACATTTTTACCAATACCAAGGAGGTTGTGTTTTCACCCCTGAACATTTGTTGTTGATTGGTGTGATTTCCACAAAGCTCCGTGTCAGGATGCAGCCTGGGTTAGAGAAGATATCATTAACATTTTGATGAAGATCTGGATCAGGGGGCCGATCTGTGAATTTTCTTCCTCTTTCTTTAACATTGTGAGATCGGGCTTTTTAAATATTGTCACTGTTTTACCAGAGAATAATCCAAATAAGAGATAATTCAATGAAAATAATGACAGTAGACAGAATAAAGGATTTTCTCCTCATCCCTCCCCCCTATTTTTACCTCCACCAATGAGGTTATGTGTTCACCTCAACATCGTGAGGCATTTTTCAACATTTTCTCCATTTTCCCGAGGGATCATGCATGGATTGTGATTAAAACAATCAGACATACTTTTAAAATATGCTGATTTAACTGAGCGTAAACTGTAGAAGTTGCTGTGATAGTCACAGTTATGGCAGCACCAGTTTCAGCTTTTCAGTCTTTGTAGAAGGAGACGGGCCTCCATTCAATTTGATCATTTTGAGTCAGAGTGTTTGGTTTGTTATTGTTAAATCCAGAGCGAACTGATTGCATAATTTCTCTCACTCCACCTGTTAAACAACACAGGACCATGCCAAGCTTTGAGGGCATTTTGAAAACCCCTATAAATCCATAGCTTTGGACTGTATTGTTCAGTCTTAGATGCATGTTGACCTCCGTGATCCCTCTCAGCTTTATTCTGGCAGCTCTGCCCATTAGCTGCTTATCTCTCTGTCACTAAGCTCCGCAGAAGGATAGATCTTACTCTGTGACAGGAGCAGGGAGATGAGCCAGGGGTGTGTGTCTGTGTGCGTTTGTGCGTACGTGTGTGTAAAGTGATAGCAAAGACCTGGAGGTGATGGCAGGCCTCCAAACTCCAGCGAACAAGAAGAGAAGGAGACATTCCATTATGTTGCTGTCGCTCTCTCATCTCAGGCCAGTGAAGATAGGATGTAAGCTGAACTTAATTTTAACAGGCTTTTTTTTTACAGGACATAAATCAGTGGTTAACATATAAACGAGAGTTGAGCATAATAACCCTCCGTCTTTTCACTGGCCGTTATGTTGTCCAGTGTGTTATAGAAGATTTAACAACATAATCTAATCATTGCAAAATACACCTGGTCAGAGAACACATAAGAGTCAGTACATAAACAATATAGATGCTAGACTTTTTTTTCCTGAGGGCACTCGTGAATGTCTAATGTGTGTTTGTCCCCTGCAGTAACTTTCGGTTCCTGATGGTGGCGCTGGCCTATGCAGTCCCCACGGGAGTGATTGCAGGCTGGACAGGAGTCCTTGACATGGTCCTTACTCCAGCTAAAGTCAGTCAGGTAAGCAGCAGACACACACCACAGAATAACATATCGCTTTTAATCTTGTTAATGTTGTTGTTAGTCTTGTTTAAAAAGATCAAGGTCACTTTTGAATTATCTTTATTTATGTATACATTTGTCTTCACTGAGCAAACACTATCTATTTTAACTAATGAAACATAAATCGTTATATTCTTTCGTCCATACTGAAAACATCATTAATATATTCACCGTGTGGGTTAATCCCTGTTCTAAAGTCACATATACAGTGAAGAAGGAGCCAATGAAGTCAGGAACCAATGAAAAAAGATAGGAGATGTGGATTAGAGAAATAAAACACTTTGAACATTTTGAATTTGCTGTTTCCCAAGATGTGTCTGCTTATGTGAACAGTGCCTTGCAAAAGAGGGATTTCAGAGGATGTCTTATCAGGAATTGTTGACTTGAAAAAAGCTGGAAAGGGTTATCTTGAAGAGTGTAGATATTCATCTGTTCACTGTTCATTGACTATAAAAATAGATGCTTTAGCTCTGTGGCTACTTTTTCTACAAGTCCAGCTAAAATGACTCCAAAGGCACAATGTGGAAAAGAAACTGCTCAAAAGTTAAAAGATTAATTGGAGCTTGATTAACATCTCATGTTCATGTATCTAACGTATGCAAACGATGGAGTGCGTGTGCAGTGTTCATGGGAGGACGTGATGGAGGAAACAACTTCTCTTCCAAAAGAGATAAACATCACAAACATAGCTTACGTTTTCTAAAGAGCACATTGAAACTGCACCATCCTACTGGAAAAATGTTTTGTGGACTAAAGTTGAGTTGTTGGGGAAGAAGCTCTAAGTAGCTGCCTGTTGTATTAAATCAAAAGGCTTCACTTACTTTGTCCTTCAGTTTTGTGAACTTTTATTATATGTGTTTGTTAAAAACACAATAGATTATACTTACTTGAGTGTTCTTACCTTGCACGCATTGTGTTTGTCTACACCCGTGACCTAGATCAGATTATATTTTATTTATGGATAAATAAAGCAGGAAACAGGTGTTTCCAAAGGGTTCACTTACTTTTCTATGAGTGGGCGTTTTCTTCAGCAAACATGTCTCCAAGAAATGTTTGTGTGGGAAGCTATTCAAACACCATTCCATCAAAGAGGTCCAATCCTCTGCTATTTTGGACGTTTTTTGTGAAAATGTGCAGACTAGAGCAGCACGTATTCTGCCCAACACTTGAGTTTCATCTTGGTTAACCTTCAGGTGGATACTTTAGAAACATGAATAGAATACTTACCATTGTATTTATGCATAAAAAGGAAGCAGCAGGAGTAGCTTGCCATTCAATTTTCTTTTCTTTTCCCATTTTGAAAACCTCAGTGAGCCAGCGTTTTGCAGAACCTTGCACAAATGAGGCCACGTCAAGCACAAGTATAAACGAGAGGCGCCATGTTGTCGTCAAATTTGTGTAATGACCAATCTTTAAAGTCAATGCGCAGGAAAGAAACAGATCTGAAATACTGGAGATGACATGAGGAGTAGATTTAGTCATATTGCCAGGAATGTTAAAAGAGGAAAGACTCAGCGCTTCTGTCCATCTTTTGTGATTGACCCGATCAATTACAATTCACCATTTGCATGCCTGCTCTTCAACTTCAGAGAGTCAAAATAGGAGGTTAAGTAGGGCTGGCTGGTTGTAGGTGCAGGTCAAAGAAAAAAGCTTTGTACTGTTTGAATCTTTCAGGTTTCGATGCAGCAGTATGCTGAAAGACAAATTGAGGATTTTTTTCAAGGTTGTCATCAAACATGTGCTGCTTAAGAGGATATCACATACAGGCGAGTGGAGGATGAAACACTTCCAGTCACACCTCTCTCTTTATACGCCTGTCAAGAGGGAGCCGAGCGTATGCCAGATTTTCTTGGATTTCATTTGTTCTCAAAAGAGTTTTTTTTCTCCTCCACATTTCTTTTTTCCATGTTAGTTAAAGAGATAAAAAAGTGTCTTAAGAATAAGAGTTTATTGAAGTGAGGTGAGGTATGTTACAGGATCTCTTTGGTACAAAACTTTGAGGTAAGAAATAAATAAATTATTCAGTCCTCCAAGGTGAGTTGGAGGAGTACTAATGCAACAGAGGAGTTTTGAAAGTTTATGTTATTCTTCACACACAGATGTTCTCCAAGTCAAATTGAACTGTGGAAAAACAAATATTGAGTTGTCTTTGTGTTGAATCTCACTATGCCTCATGAGTACTCAAGCACACGGGCTCATTGCAATTGATGTTTTACACTGCAGGTACCTGTTATCTCGGAAAACAGAATGCCTGTAAGCTAATGCTCCCTGCAATTTGTTCATTTTAGTGCGGATGGGTGCCTTCAGAAAGATTTGCATTGGTGCTCCTTTACTTTACTGATAATTGTTGCATTGAACTGGAACCCAGCCCACTCTTTTTGTGTAGCCTGCTCACCACTTATCTTACCTTATCTTACCTGCTCCAAATAGGCAGGATACAAGCATGATAATTTTTTGCCTAAGTGCACCACTTACATGCTGTGATGCACCTCACTTACATTTTTGCAGCTATCTTGGTTTATTTACATCGTCTGTCCTCAATGACGGTTTCTGCCTACAGTTGGATGTCTCTTTATTTTTCTCCCTTTCCTGTATATCTAATCTTAGTTTACAGCATTTATTTGACATGTGCTTCCAGCAATTATTTATCTTTAGCTGGTTTCCAGCTCTTGCCTCTTCTATCCTTTCTTCTCTACCCTCCAAAAATCTTTGTCAGCATTTTTTCAGGTGTTTCTTTAAAGATATAGATACTTCTGTCATTTGCTTCTCTGCCAGCCATGCAGTCCAGCTGAAAGGTGACCGTGGCTGCTGTGAGGCAGCAGGAGCAGTTGTCATTGAACAGAAGAAAAAGACAAATGTTGCCATCTATTTGATGGGAAACACAAACGTGCCCATTCAACAGCTGAAGACCCTAAAACAATGAAATGGGAAAAAGAAACAGGCACTACAGTTGCCAATGACTGATCCAACACCAATCCAGCTCCCTGGTCACATCTGTCATGGTGGAAAATGCATAATTAGGAAACTGGGTTGATTCCGGGTGAAGCTGTGGTGGGAAGAGTAACAGCTGGGCGTTGCAGCTTAGTGCCACACACACAACCTTCTCAAGCCCAGCTCTTGTTGTTATAGGGCACAGATACAGGCAGATCAGGGGGAAACTTTTTCACTTTCACTTCTCCATTGAGAAATAGACCTGAAAACAGAGGTATATTAGAAGATGGACAATACGTCTCCACTTCCTCCTTTTTAAAAATGAAGTCAAAATATGCTGGATATGAAGGCTGCTTTCTTGCCCTGGTGATGACATTATGAGCCAGAGACTGCGTACCAGGGATCAGGGAATGAAGCAGTATATCGAGATCCATGCACTTGATCCATCGGTAGTTTATCTCAGCTGTCAATCATGATGTTTCATTCCATTTTTACAGCATCAAATAACTCAAGCACTCATTAGAACTGCCTAAAATTACAGCAACAATCTTTGAGAAAGATTCATTTGACGTTTATTTCAACTTTTTAGTTTGAGCCATGGCTGGGTTTGTGACCTATTCTGCAGCCAGCTACCAGAGAGGGATTTAGATGCTTTGCCTTCACTTTTCAGAGCTTTAATGTCGTCCATCTTATACAGTCTGTGGTCCTCACACTCATTGCACACTTTATTAGGAACACCTTTACCTCTTCTTATTCATGCAGTGATCCATTCAGCCAATTATGCGGCAGCAGTGCAGTGTCTGTGATTATAGGTGGGAGATGGGAGTGAGGTTATGGTCCGACAATGCTTAAGTGTGTAATTCTTGGATCTTTGGATCTGAAGTGGAAGCAGGATTGTGAAAGATTGTGTAAAAGCAGTGGCCTGCTGAGGTCTGAACATCTGTTCTGTGAGCTCTGCGGGGTGGAAATGTGTTCGACCTGCAGACGGAAGGACTGAGCACAGAGCTTAGCATTACCATAATGAGTATGACTCAGGAAACAGGTGCCGCACTGTGATCATCGCTCATTTATAATTGTTCCCATTGTCGAGACGAGCCATTTAGAGTGCAAAGAACTAGAAGGCCGATCCCGCTTCTTTCAGATTGATAACTGATTTTATTTCCCCACGAAACCACTTTCAGAGTTCTGGAACACGGTTTAAGTTTATCAGAGTATATGCTCTGCCTTCAGACAGAACACTATTACAGACGGTTGGATTTACTCTCGAAGTGGAGTAGGAATACCATTTTAGAATATAAAGCTAAGGATGAGGTCTTTGGTTATTGGTTTAAAATGGCTTATAACGAGGGACTGAGAGAGAAAATTAAGGAAAACAAACACGTTAATGTGTCAAGAGCCTGAAGACCTGGTTTTCCCCATCCTGACAACAGTCCTCTCCAGCTTATTGACATAATCGCAATATACCAGACGTGATTAAGCTTCAAATCTGGTCTTTTTTTAGGGTTTCAGGCGCTAAGAGTACTGCAGTTAATTAACTCTCCACCCGCACATGAAACATCGTAATTTGCATCTCAGAATTGAAATGGCTTGGCAAGCAATTTGTATTTCACTTCCTAAATTGGTGCACAAACCGATGTGACATAACGCGCAGTTAAAAACCCTTGCATTTGTGCTGCTCAGCCTGCATAGATAACAAGCAGCAGGTATAGGTGCCATGGGGATTGTGGGTATCAAAAATGTTTGCAAATCAGGTATCTTGTTCAGTGGCATTTATTGGCCGAGGTGGAGTTCACTCATGGCGGCCCATGCATGCTTCTCAGAGAAGTATTACGTGTGTTACAGGCGGCTGGCCCACACAGAACACTCTTAGTGTAATTTAGATAAAATATAATAACATTCTGGCATTCATCACTTACTCAGCCAGAATACGTTTTACATTTAATAACTTTGATAGTCCACTTTTCTTCATTATAGACTTTCCTGACAGGTCATTGCAGAGTGTGATTAAACAAAAAGCATCAGATCCTACTTGAGATTCTGCTCCCTCGCCGTCTCATCTCCCATCTGGTTGAATTTGGTTGAATGTGAGTTATTGCCTCGGGGAGATTGATGTGAACCAAACACCTTCATTGGCACTTGGAGACGTTCTCGCCTAGGTGCCACACACTGATTGGCTTTGTGGGTGTGTGCACGTGTGTGTTTGCTTGTGCACTACACTTTACCTCATATTGATTCTGCTGCAGTCCCTCGGCCACAACATTTTTTTCTTCTGACTTTAAGGCCAAATGTATGTGTTGGCCTTTATCAGGATAAATAAGAAGAGACAACGGTCTGTTGTACACACACACACACACACACACACACACACACACACACACACACACGCACACACACACACACACGCACACGCACACACCTACCTCATCTTATACTTATGCTGTCTGGCAATTTATCAGACCCACTGACTGACAGGCCTCAGTGGACTTCAGACACTTGCTCCCTGTCTCTGTCCTCATAGTCTTGAATTGCTTGTTGAACGCTAAATAACCTTCCCTTTGCAACTCTACTCTACGTTCTCTCTCTTTCTTCTTCTTCTTCTTTTATCTTGGCTCTAACCCTCCATCATCCCATTATCTTTTTTTCACAGGTGGATGCAGGTTGGATTGGCTTCTGGTCGACTGTGGGCGGGTGTGTGTTCGGAGTGGCAATGGCCAGGTAAGTGATACCTTGTTTTTCTTTTTATCACGTAACTGTCTCACTTTGTTCGTTTTCAACATGAAGTTGTACCATAAGATTGGTGAAGCGAGTTTAGACTGCTGATGTGTAACAGGCTCCCTAATCAACATTTCCCACAAACAGACTCCATGGACCTGGGTTGCCTATACACAGCTTACTCATCCATGTTATTATGTAACTCAGTGTTGAAAACAAAATGGCAATTCAGTCTGATTATTAGGCTAATACCACCCAGCTCACTGAGAACTTGATGGACCCGGTGAGGCATCAAATTAGAAAATAAGCTTTAACTGTAACCCCTCATTTACATTTACAAACCGGGGATACTCTGAATATTTGTTTCCCCCGAATATGTTCAATGGAGGTGATGAAGTACAGAGTTAGCTGGTCCCATTGAGCCACATTCATAGGAAATACACCCGGTTGAAATGAAGTGGAATTCTTCTTTAAGTGAGGAAGAATGATGAAAATCTTTTGGCAGTAACAGTGAAAAAAAGGTTTTTACTCTTTTACTCTACTCTAAAGGTCGAGAGCGTTATATGTTGAAAGAACTATGAAAAAGTACTTGCTGAAGCAAAAATATATAACAAAGTGGTGTAGATCACTGGTTCCTAACCTCTGACTCAGGACGCACAAAAGGTTTGTAAGACAAATCTGAGGGGTAGATTATTGGACAAGAACATTTTTTTTCTCTTATATAATACAGCACAGTTTTACCTCTTTGTGTACAAAATGGTGAATGGTCACAAATAGAGACTTTTTAAGGGTTTACTGGACAGAAATGTTGGGGACTACTTCTCTATTTGGAGCTCAATTTAAAGAAATAGAAATTACTTTCACTGGAATGGTTTATGTTGTTGGTTTATGTCAGTTAAATGGAGGAAGAAAATCATTTGATTACACAGTGGTAAGCACGAATCCAACATATCTGCAACCTGAGGGTTGACAGAAACACTGTCAACAACCACCTGTTCCAGGAATTATTGTTAATTAGGTGTAATAAAGTACAAAAATAGAACAAACTGCCCTTTAAATGTAGAGATAATCAATTTAAGTTCTAGACTTTATTGCCCCCAGAGGGAAATTTGTTTTCTACGTGATTGCTTTGCCTGTGTCTCTTCTACCTGAATAACACGATTGTGCCATTTGAATCTTCCTCACAGTGGTCCCTTGGTATGCATACACTTGTAATTTAGAAACTAGCTATACTGTTTATAACATAATTAATAACACATCAGTTCTATAGAAAAGTGGTTGACTTGAGTTAAGGTCAGGTCTCTCATTTGCTCTCTTCATCCAATCTACTCTCCTTTAATATACGATCCGAATCCAGCAACACTGCGATAGAGTGGGGGGGGGATAGACGCTAATGCATCTGCCACTTCACCTCCCTCGATGAATAACAAGCAACACTGCGAAGATGAAGTGTGGAGTCTGCAAAAGCAGCCGCTCCGTCTCTGCTCTGACAGATATACAGGGGAGTCCAAAGGTCTGAGGCCACTTTACCCATTCACTTAGAGTAGGAAAAGTTAAATCAGAGTTTTGGAGCCCACTGTATGTTTATCGCCCAATCAGCACTTCCAGGCAGCACCGCTGTTTTCTTTAAGTTGTAATCAGGGAAATGAGCCCATAACTCCCACTGATAATCAATGAAACTGTTTGCAGCACAAGATGAGTGTATGTAAACAGAGCTGTTGAATTATCGGTGTTGATTACATTGAGTCCAAGGAGGAATTCATTATTCTTTCTTTGATGCTACATTTGATAGTTAAATGAAATTGAGTGAAATAATATGCTGCATGTTATTTGCTCTATGTTCAACTACACATGGTTGGTAGGTTTGAACTTCACTGATCATGTCGGTGAGTCGTGTTCCGTGAAGAATTTGTCAATTGGCTGATAAAAATCAGCCGATATGAGACTTTCACAAAAAATTCCGGTATGGGCTTTTACTTTTTCTGGTACACAGATATATAAAAACGTTTATTTACAAAATTAAAGTACATTTAAAAAATAATCATGTTTATTTTTAGAGATATTTCAGTACAGATACCAGCATTGGAAATACCTCAGATACCGAAAATGCCAAGTCTGACTTTGATGAATACACAGATCAATGTGGCTAAAGGGTGAAATGGAAAATTATGAATTTATTAAACTCAGGTGGATGGATGTGATCACAATGAAAGTTAATACACTTTCAAAAAGTAGTTACACAACTTACGTGCATGATAATTTCATCGTTCAGAAATTCAAAGTAATATATTTTATTACTATTTAACCTTAGACCCTTACACTGTGTGTAATAATCTAATGCTGAGATAGATAATAATCGAGGTGTGATTTGTGGCTGCTGCTCCTTGATGATGTAAAACAGGAAGCGGACCATTCGTTTGGAATTCTTACTCACTGGACTGATGTTCCCTCATGTCTCCTCTTTGTCTGTAAAGTCTATCAGGACGTGACCCTGAGCTGCAATATGGCCGCGGTTCTTTGATTCAGATTTTAATTTCTTCTTCCTCTCTCTACTCCATTAAAACTTAACACTCAGCTCTTTCTTTCTCCTTCTCCATCATCGTACGCTAACGTGGCATCATTACACACATTCCCAAGAAAGCCTGTGGTAATGAAGTGAGCAGAGAGCAATGCTTGTCCCCCGTGCACCCACTAGAAGCCCTCAAGATGTTAATGTCTAGATGTGACTTATTAGATGCCGCTAGCCGTCCCTCTCCCTCAGCTGGCACAGCACCACGCCAACGCTGAGCACAGTGTACCACAGGGGGTCAGAAAATGGCCCCCCTTTAAATGATCTTTGTGTTGCAGTCTCACATTTTAAGTGGCTGCAAAGCTGCATTTCTTAGGGGATCAGCAGTTGCCCTTTGCCAAAAAACATTATTTCAGTGCCTGTGTCTTGCCAGTTGAATGGCAGGGAGCTTAATGCAACAGGCTCAGTCGCTAGTGGAGGATGCTCCAAGGTGCGGCACCCGTCCTGGAAACGTTTGACAAAACGTCTGGAAACTGTTTGATTGTGTTTCCTTGGTAGAGGCTGATTGGAGGAGGCTGTTTTTTTTCTCAGATTGAGGAGGGGAAGAATAACTATCAGGGGTCCCTCATTATCTTACCATTACAAGCCCTTGGAAAAAAGAGGGGGGGAGCGGAGGTGTCAGAAAACCGAGCCGTGTTATTCCCCGGCTCATCACAAAGGTCTTCGCCAGACAACACTCTAGGTTAATGAGACGAGATCGAGCAAAAACAAATGAGTATCAGCTGCTGCCTGCGAACAGGGACTATCTGTGATTGCAAGCTGGTCATCCGATTATGCCGTCGACATCTATTTGGGTATTTACTGCAACTCCTTCACTAAAAACCGACAGGCCCAAATGATAATATCACACAGATAATATTTCATGATACCCTGCAGGCACTGGGAGAGGAGCAGAAAATGGAATCTGATTCTTAAACGATCCCATCTTTATGGCTAATAAATCCTGTTGGAGGAGTGTAAAAGATTGGCTTTTAATTCTGACATTGCCTCATGAGATGAGATGACCCTCTTTACTCAGTAGTGTAGCGTCTGAATGACATTAAACGATACCTGGATTAGTGAAGTAGCCGTCCTCCACCAGTTTATTGGAATTTGCTCTCCCTGACTGAATACTGGAGAAAAGTGTTTTCTTACAATATCATAACATCATTTTCTTTATTGTCTATAAATTCTATGCAAACAGAAAAACCAACAAGATATATCACTTGGCTTCTTTGACAGAATAAGTAATTAGTAAGATGCAGATTTATTATACAAAAGGTAATTTAATTTTCTTTATGGGTGATTGACTTAAAGACTGTATATTTAGATGAACAACACATTTCCACGCCCTCCCACTATCCAGAAATTAACTGTCCCGGGTACAGACACTGCTATCTTGCGCATTTTGAGCCATGTCCCATCTGTTAACATGGAGAAGATGGAATTTATGACCTAAACTTAACTTGAGGAGCCGTGCTGATGTCAATCTTTGCATACGGTCTATAGATTGACTCAGACTAAATTACACTGGCCATGTTCGTGATAATTAAAAAAACATTTCAATCATGGCAACAGGGCGACTCACTGAAGTGTTCAGAATTGCTTTTGGAATTACAGTAGAGCTCTGTGGCACAAAGGAGTAAACAAGGCTTTGACAATACCAGGCATTACTTGTTAGTGGCATTGACTGTATTTCTTTATAGAATTTGGAAACAGTAAGAACATATTGCAGGTTACCATTAAAAATATAGGATATCTATTTATTTATTGCTCTAATTCGGTCGTTTTCAAAATCTATATTCTGCTTATTTGTATCACTTCTTATTCAAACTGTGTCGCACATGATTTATCTTGGCAATCAGTGACCAAGCTCTTTATCAAGTGGACTCAGGGACCGTCAGAGGTTGAGTACGCAAAATAAGCTACTTATGGTGATTCTGCCCAGAGGATCGATTTGAACTGATACGGGGGAGTAGCCTGTGATCCTCTATGTAAAGAGATGAGGGTTTGGCTGCGTGCAGGCTAAGGATTTTTATCCCTCTCTGGCACCGGGGGAGGTTGAAGGGTCGTGGACGTGAGCCAGCCAGTGGCAGATGCGTGATGCAGATTTGAGTGGTGTTGCTGTGAGCACAGAAACGAAGCATCTCTGTTCAGCGGCGAGCTCTGACTCTGCTTTTTTCAGCGCAACCAGCTCATTCTTGGAAAAAAAAAAAAGGAAGTTGATGGCTTTAGATGTGTTAATCAGAAAAGACAGAATTCATCATGCTATGCCCCTCAGCTCTGCTCTAAATTCTCCCGCAATGATTTGAAGTCCAAAGGTAGCCTGTCCTGTGGATGTCCTGCAAACGGTAATGTGTCGAGGCCGTGAATGACAGCTCATAAAATCCCAGAGGACATTAGTGACATCTAAAAATGCCATCCCGGAATATTCTGAGTAGAGGTGTTCTCATTATCCGCCCAAAGCATGATTTCCCTCCTCCCCTGGCTCTCAGCATACTGACAGAACTTCACACTTCGCCAAACTAATCAGCCGTTTCCAGCATTTCTTTTTATTCGTGCATTAAGTTCATTGTCAAGTTCAGCTCTCTCCTCTTAAGCATCTCATCTGTGAGCGACAAAACAAAAGTAATTAGTGTCTGTCTTTGCTACCGGCTTCTGTTGCTCGGTCTAATCTTTTTGCAAGCATATGTCTGCTCACCCAGAGGAGCAGAGGAGCTAATGAACTATGAGTGTTTGGAAAAGGCTACAAAGGGAAAACCACGATGCCCCTGAGAGTTTGAGAATGGCCGAATCTGTTGTCATCCACAATATAACGCAACGCACATCTCAAGTCTGTCTGTTTAGCCGATGAGACAAATTGAATCAACTCTGGGAATAGTGTCTCCTTGTGTAATGACAAGCACAATCGACACACTCGGAAACAAGTGGAAGAAGGAAATGATCTGGCCTTTCTCCGAAACAATGCATGTTTCCCGTAATAGAAGATGACACAAGTCACAGAGGCGGCAGACGTTGAGAAATTACATGGCTGCTCATTGTTTATGAAGGATGCCTCTTGTTTCTGAAGCAGCTGTCGTCCCTCCCTTCAGTAATCTTGTCCTTGTGCTTTTTGAGATCAGTATTTTGAATATGTTTGACATTCCTCCTTTGCCCCCCCCCCCCCCTCCACACCCGCAGGTTTGCAGACTCTATCCGAGGGATGTTGAAGCTGATCTTGGTGCTGATGTTAGCAGGAGCCTCACTGTCCTCTACCTGGTTCACACTCACCTGTCTGAGCAGATATACTCACCTCCCGTCCACTGCAGGTGGGTCAAAAAACAGTGTCGCTGCCAAGGTGACATTGCAGACACAGACGGTGCAGCTGGTGTGCTCTGATACGACCCGGAGCCAAAGTGAAATGAGTGGGCAGTTCGGACAATCCACTCTGAATGCATATGTGGATCTGCACTGAGCGACAGCACATGTTTTTTTTCTTACATTTCAGCTTACTACATATACTCCAGCATGAAAGTGAATAGAATTGATTGTCAATGCACAAAATACAATAAAGTACGGACCTGCACTCCTGCACATTGCTTTGAAAGACAAAGAACGACGGCTGTAAAACCCATCCATCCATCTCTACCACTTATTCTTTAGGGGTCACAAGGGTCAGGGTGAGGCCAGACAGGTCGCCAGCGAATCACAGGGCCAACACTCATATTAACAGTGTCTCCAGTGAACGTAACCCCAATCTGTGTCTTTGACCTGTGGGAGGAAGTGGGAGTGCTTGGAGAAAACATAGGGAGAACATGTAAACTCAGCACAGAATTGAACCTTCTGGTTGTGAGGGGACAGTGCTGTCGTGCTGCCCCAGGTTCTAAAATATTGAGTCAAATATAATATAATATAACACATATAACAGAAATTATTGCATTAAATAATCATAATTATTGCATTAGATCGAATTTAAAGGGTCATTGTCTTCCTAAGGTCATATCTAGTAGATCTTGTGCAATAATTGTACAAACTGGTACTCATTCAATGGTATCAATCCATTAGTAGATGTGTGATAACCCCATCAGGGACATTAGTGGACTTTGCTACCTTTCCCGAAGCCAAACCAGCATATCATTCGAAGCCCCTGATACTAGCTATCATCATCTATCATCATTCCCCAAGCTCTGGCACTTATCAGAGTCACTGGCCGTCTGCAGCAGCCAGACTCCAACCTCGCTCATCCACCTGGCGTGTCAAACAAGAGGGCGGCGTGATGCTGCAACACAATCTGCCAGAACCACTCATTATCCCAGCGGGACAGACACACATGCACACACAGATCAGGTTAATCTGCTGTTTCTGCGAACACCTGATCTTTTTTTTTGGGGTGAAAAGAGTTTCCATAAAGGTAGTCTCATTGCTATGGTCCTATCAAAAGACATTGACATCCTAAAATCAACCCCAAAATATTCAAAATTTCAAAAAATACTAGACCCACCTGATTTATTATGCATGGATTTTCCTGTAAATACTCACATGTACATGTTTTTAAAGTAATAAAACAAGTTGACAGTAGAGAGATGATTGGAGAGACTGATGTGGAACGGCATGTTTACTTGAATACATTTTCTCAGACCGTTGCTCATCTACTCACATGCGATTAAGGGATATTAGTCTTTTCTAACGAAAGCGGCCGTGGCTCAGGTGGTACAGAAATTGGCCCTGGTTCCCTCATTCTGGCCTTTCGGGTCCCTCCTGAACCCAGGTTGTGTCATCAGGGAGATCGGACATAAAAAAAAAATTTCAAGTATGCAGATGGTGACCCGCTCCAGCAACTCACCATGGGAGCAGCCAAAATACAACATTAATTCTCAGCCACTTTAAAAATGATTCAGTTTCCTTCATTGCAGCCAAACATGTGACATACTTCATTAGCCATTGGAGATGATTTTAGAGAGAACAGCGTTTACTGGATACTGAGTTACGGACAAAACAAGACATTTGATCAACTTGAGCTTTTCCAGATCAAAAGGTTAAGTGATTAACATTTATTATTATTCACAGTTGCAGCCCTTAATACAAACATGTCAAACCTTAGACACCTAAAATAATTTGTAGAAACAACATTGTTCTTCAGACCAGTGAGGTGCATACTAAGCTCCTCTGCTGCCGTGATCTCCTGCTCCCCTCTGGGAGCTGGCAGTAGATAGTCTTGTTTGACAACCCAAGGGGGAAAAGTGCAGCGGTTGAAGTGCTCTTAGAGGTTAGATATCAGTGCTTCATTAGGGTTCAATAAAGACAAGCAGGGTGGCTGGCTTTGATGGCTGCATGAGTGCCGCTTGGGTTCCTGTCACAGGCAGGCAGGCAGGCGGGTACACGAGGGCCCTCAGAGGCATCATGATTAAAGGGACGTGGAGGCTAATGGGGAGCTCATTTGGACCAATCTGCACTGATAAGGGAGATGGAGGGTGCCGTGATGCTCCAGAGATGATGGCTTAATCTGTCAGCACATCCACTCAAATACTTGTTCACGCGTTTTACATTCGGTTCCGGCCAAAGGAGCGGAGCTGGAACTAGACCCTGAGACGACCAAACACACTGAATGCAAGTAAACTAAGAGCAGCAAGATTCCACTAACATAAATCATTAATTCTAATTGAATTTATGTCGGTTTGAAATCAATTTAAAATTTAGGAAGCTTGGCCTTTTCTGATTTGTTAAAAGAGGCTTTCTAGCTGTCTCTAAGGTGACAGATATCAAAATTGAATGGTTTCTTCCCTGACCCATGTCGCATCCTTTTTTTCAAAGTCGTGTTAAAATCTGGTTTGTAGGTTTTGTGTAATCCTGCTGACTAACAAACCAACTCTCAATCTTATCCTTGCTAGGAGTGAGCACGTGACCAAAAACACACAATCCTGACATGTACAACTTATCATGTGACACTGCAGACCAAGTGAAGGCAATTACAAACTTGAAAATGTGAAATGATGTTTTTGTTGCAAAGTGCCCATTTTCCCTCAGAGCCCCTATAGTATTTTGGTTTTGTTTCCAGTAAATTGCCACCTCAAGGGGCGACACTCTAAATGAAATGTTTCTGGATGAGGGTTCGTCATAAATCTCAGTGCTGTTGAGAACAAATGATTCAGTAGGAAGCTTCAGGATGGGGAATAAATCACATCTGCTGTTCCACAAACTTGACTGGTATGCCGATGTTTTCCAACAGTTGCTCAGATGTTGTTTGATGCCCAATTACATCAAAGTTCCCAGTTGAAACGCAGCTCACTTTTTTCCTTTTGCACTCTTACAGCCATCCTGTACACTTCCTGCATCCTGGTGGGCATTTTTATCAACAGCAGCGTGCCGATATTCTTCGAACTCTTCATTGAGACGGTGTACCCAGTCCCTGAAGGCATCACCTGTGGAGTGGTCACTTTCCTGGGGAACCTGGTCACTGGCCTGCTCCTCTTCTTCCTCACCTTTTACTGTACAGGTAAGACTGCATGTGTAGCATAGTGCAGCCCAGGCTGCAATTTTCTGTCCAAACCCGAATCCCAATTACAGGCACATTCAGCCGGTGTGACTGAAATTCAACCAAAACTCAAAAATCCAACCCGGCCCGTCTCAGGGCATCTACATTCTAGTGCGTTCAAATAAGGAATCAATACACCATGAAGAAAAAAACTTTACTTCTGCATTATCAATATTTTTAAAAGAAAAAGATTTTCATTTGTTCATTTTCTGCAGCCAAAGTCCCGATCATCATGGTGATAGGATAAAACCACTTAACTGTTTCTTTTATCAATAGAAAACAGTCAAATGTCCTTTATTCCCCCCCCCCGTGGATTTCTCTCACCTCTCAGAAGCCACAAGCTCCTTCATTTTCAAAAAAATCCATCTGAAGCCCTGCAGATGCTGCCGATAAAAGGCGGACAGTGTGAAAATTAGGCTCCAATGCAATTGACACATTCAGCACAAAGAAAGAAAAACTTCCTGCTGTAATTTAGCCCCAGACTTATCTCTGAGTCGGCTGCCTGACAGAGTTTGATCTAATAATTTGGGGCCACAGCTGAGAGGACAGCATGTCATCTGCTTCTCTTCCGACTGCAGCTTTCACAGGACAAGTGAATTCTTAAGTAAACCCGGCTCAGTCATCCATCTTAGCGTCTGTGTGTGTATGTCAGAGTGTGCTCGGGACTCAAGTTATGTTCCATGAGTCCCGCTTCTCTCTGATCTTTGCTTATCTGTCTTAAACTTCATCCCTATATCTAAGTTGGCTTACGTCACAGCAACAGTCGGCTGGAAACACTGATCCATCTCTGACACACACACACACTCACTCCTTATTTCCTGTGTTTTAGTAAATAAGAAAAATATTCTCAGACCCTCATAAATATTCATGAGCTTCATCCTCCTCCTCCTCCTCCTCCTCTTCCTCTGCCAAATCCTTCTGAATGCTACGAGACCACTGACAGCTGCTGCCTAACAACTATATCTTCATCCTTCCTTCTGGCTTGTCTTGCCAGCGAAGGTGGATATGATTCTTGTGTGACCTTAACAGCCGTGAGGCCCAGCAGCCCACTGGGACAGCTAACAAGTATGACAGCCATAGCAGGAAAACAGCTTGTCTTGTCAAGAACAGCAGGTCTCTAACATGGCGTGATATCAGCATGGGACGAAATTAAAGCTGCAGCTAAGGATTATCTTCATTCTGGTTTAATCTGTGGATCATATTTTCTGATGGAATGATTAATAGTTTGTCTTATAGGATGCAGAAAATAATGAAAAATACTCTTCTGAAGTTCTCAGCCTAACATCTGCCAATAGATTTCCCCCAACGCCAGAGTGTTGTCAACCTACTGATTTAAGAATTCATTCACAAATTGTTTATGCATTTTATTGTAGCTAATACATCTTATAACCGAACGCTGATCTCTACCCAAAGCCCAGGTATCAGTTTTAGTATCAGGGCGTAAAAAAGTTGAGGATGAAGACGGAGGGATGTCGATTTAAAAACTGGGGTAAAAGTGAGAAAATAAACAGAAATGAAACTGTGATTCAAATGACAAGTAGTGTGTGTCTGTCAGGTGTCCATATGTTGATGAATCATTGATTAGACAACAATATAACAGGTGTGTATAGATGGAAGTTTAGGTAGAGCAGCTCTAGGCCGACACACACACACACACACACACACACACACACACACACACACACACACACACACACACACAGAATCGATCACAAGTAGAGTAGAACTCATTAAAAATACATTGCGTATTCTCTGCTCGACATTTCTCTCCACAATGTTGAACTAAAGCGTCTCGGTGTGGTTGAAGGTGCACCTCAATGCGTTTGTGTGTGTGTGTGAGTGTGGGGGGGGGGGCAAGCCAGCGACTGATGTGCTGAGATGGATGCTGACAACTTCCGTGTGGCAGCTGTAGAGAAGATAAAACTGACTTGATGGAGGCTTTCGCTGCAGTTTTCTTCACTTCACACCCTGAAGTTGACGAAAATAAACAAATTCGTTTTTTTAAAAGCAGGTAAAACCATCAAAAAAGCGATGGACCCATAACCTTGAGAAGAGTTTGCTTTTCTCTCTTCTTGGTGTCGCGTTCAAAGTCAGACGGCAGTAAACAGGATCAGTAAACACTATTAAAAGAACACAGATTTTTTCTTGTCTTTAAAACGTACCTCTTTGTGCATATCTTTGGAATTCATCATTAAACCAGAAGGTTTTTTGTTTGAAAACATTTAATTAAGCTAAAAATATTGGAGGCTGCCATCTTGTGCTTTTTACTTCATTTGGAACCAGAGTCTGCGAAGTCGTGGCCGTGGTAACAAGGCTCCGCTGATACTGTACATGCGCTCGATCAACGACGGGTCATCGATGGACCTGTGCTGCAGCTCGCCACCAGGGGGCAGTCTAGATGATTCTGCGTTACTTTTGGACAGCTGTCATGTCTATCATTGGTGTCTCACAGTAAAAAGGACATGACATTGAGTTTTACTAATGTCTAATTGAATCTATGGGAATTGACAAGACGTGCACGTTTCCTGTTTGGAAACCAGCTGTTCTCCTGAAGCGATCACTCCTGTGAAGATGAAGTGGATTATTATGCAAAATTCCCCTTGGAAGTTTTCTACTGGGCCGTTTCATTACTATAATTTCCTCTCTTGTGTCCCATAATGGATTTGGAAAAAAATATGCAGACTTCACAACTGATAAATTCTCCATGAGCCTCGTCTTTTCAAAACCCTTTCAACTCCTGATATTGAAAATTGGCAACTTCCTGCCTTTAAAGATTTCCATCTATTTCCAGTTTATAGTTCATTTCAGGGTTTTCCCTTCGGCTGCCCATTGCCTCGTTATGCATTCTGAATTATGGCTCCTTTTCCCCTGCGAGGTGAAAGAAGTTCATGAATTTAGCTCCGTGTCCATTTTAATATCCACGAGAGGCTCGGTCTTGTATCATTGATCCCTAACTGTCCTCTTGACTCTGTTTTCATGCTTCTAAAATCTCCCCTAAGTCTCCGAACCATGTGACTCAGAAACATGAATGGAAACCTCTGGGTCGTATATCCACGCTTGTTGCTCTTTCTCAATTTCATCTTCTGTGTGTTTGTGTCATTTAGCTCGGAGCGTCGGGTGCAATACAAAGCAGCAGAAAGGTATTGTGGAGCAACAGAGCCTCAGAGGTTCTGTGGAGGAAGGAGGAAGATGAAAGATGAGGAGCGAGGGGAGGGGTAGTGTTGAGTTTCCGTTTGGAGACTTCTGCATTTGGGGTAAAGCAGAAATTATTCAACACACAGAAATAATTGCTGCAGTTCTTAAGTCCCGAGCACTTTTTTCCCCCCTTTCTACTAAACTTTGCATTCTCGTCTGAAGTGGAAAATACCTTTGCAGTCTAACTTTTTCCACCCGCCCTGTAAAAACCATGGAGGTGTTTAAAAACAACACAAACAGCCTCAGTCACCTCTGGGAGAATAAGAAGCTTTTTTTTTTTTTTCAATTTGGAATCGTGAGAGTTCAAGGCAATGCTAGCTGGGTAAATACACAGTGAACACTTTAAAAATACACGTCAGACTACGGTAAATATTTCCCCATGCGTCGTAATGAGAAAGTTTTGTGATTGGTCATCACACAGCTCGTCCATGTGACTGCAGGTGCGACCCCAGTCCTCTCAAACAAAGGCTGCAGTCGTAAAGGAGAACCAAGCCACATTAATTACAACGCTGCAGTGACCTCAATTAAAATTGATCAAGGCCATAATTCGCCTGTCCACTCGTGTCTCTCTCTTCATCTGTAGCTCTGTTCTGCTGACAGAGACAGTAATAAGCTGTTAATGTGATGAACTGTTCCCTCTGACGTCCTCTGAACATGATCACACAGTCACAGTGATCCCTCCCCAGTTCACGGCACCAGTGACCAGTCAGAGTTTCGTTTGTGGCTGATGTGTAATTGTTTAAAACAGTGTTCGACGCTCGATGTCCTCCCTCATCATTTTCCTTTGCTGATGATGGAAAGGCACTGTTTTGACATTCTTTACAAAGGTAATAAATGTTATTTCCATAGCCCCCTTTAAAACACAAATTAAGAATTGAAGGCAAATAATAGGAAATTAAAAGCAATTTGAAGATCACACAACATTAGACAACATTAGAACAGAAATATAAATATAAAAATTGGACGGATAACAAAAAAAAGTATTCACAAAATAAAGAAATAGAAATCTTTAATGATTCAACAGGAATCTCATCTTTAGCCTCTGCAGAGATTTAACAATAAAACTAGCAAAGTTAGGAAAAGGTGATGATTCCCCTGTGGTGGAGATGGTTATTATTATTGCATTTTCTGTGATTCCTCCTTTGTGAGTCTGTTTCTTTCCTTCACAACACAGATACAAACAAAGATGAAGTGCTACTTGCCACAGTGTCGTGTATCCTTGACTAGTGTCGCAGGTTGCTTATTTAGAAACTGTTTTCTAATGAGCGAGCGAGTCGCTGGGTTGTCAATGTTGACGCACGCCCACGGTGATGAGTGAGAGGAGGTGGGGGAGGAGGTCTTCACAGGAAAGACGACGTACATTTCCTAACAAGAGGAATGGAGGATATTAAGATTGAGATGGATGGATGGATAGATAGACAGATAGACAGACAGATAGATAGATAGATAGATAGATAGACAGATAGACAGATAGACAGACAGACAGACAGATAGATAGATAGATAGACAGATAGATAGACAGACAGATAGATAGATAGATAGATAGATAGATAGATAGATAGATAGATAGATAGATAGATAGATAGATAGATAGATAGATAGATAGATAGATAGATAAGTTTTAGCTTCAGCTCAGATTCATAATTGAAGAAATAAATTTCATGCCTCTCTTGTACTTGCACTGTAGGAAAAGTCTCCTCTTGTGAAACTGACAAAGATGATAATTAAAGCTCAGGATTTTGACCTCAAGTCTGTTGCCATGGCACCGCTGTGAGGACCACAGTGCTCAAGTCAGGTAAAGTGGAAGAAAAGAGAGTGAAAATTAAATACAAATATTACCTCGGTCATCCGGGTCATGGTACTCCAAGAAAAGTTGACTCGAGGGCAAATGGTATTAATTGTAGACACTTGAAGACATTTCACCTCTCGTCCAAGAGGCCTCTTTCATTCTGACTCAGCGGTATTTAACCTGAAGGAGAAGGATAACCATTTTTTTCATTTCATTCACATGCACCGGGCAGATTAATTGCCTGATTAATAGTTTGCATCATGTGCATGTTTGCATGAAAGCTGAATAATTGAATGAATTAAAACAGGTGATAACTACAGGACACAACAGATGAAAACTATTAAAAGTGAGAAGTTACGGATGATTATGACGAGAGATGTAAAAGATAAAAGTGTTTCAAAGTCAGTCCTGTTAAAAGTTTACAGGCCTGCAACAGAGCTGGAGTCAGACTTATGTGTCCTTTAAACCGTGATCATTAAAATCTAATAATCAACTTTAAAGCAAACCACTGATCTAAGGAGCCTCCGGAAACAGAGCAAAGTGACTCTGCTCATCTTTTCTTCCTTTTATCTTATTTGCTCTGATCTTTTCACATCGTCCCTCCTCCTCCTCCTCCTCATCTCCCCTCCTCTCTGTTTACCGTTCATCCAAACTTTAACATTAACTGTGTTTCCTCCTAACTTTGCTGCAGGTGTGTCCTCAGACATCCGAGGGAGAGCGATTGAGCTGCTTGTTCATTTTGACCACATCGCCTGATTGAATCTCTCAGCAGCACATTAGCATTCCTCTAACTCTATCAGACCAGTCACACACAAACAGACCGTGTGTCTTTGTTCGGGCTCACGTGTGTGAAATCGAGACAAAGTTGGACGGAGAAGACTTTAGGTCAGTTAAACACAACTCCATTAACCCGTCTCCACGCCGGGTCGCCCCCTGTCCGGCTTACACGCTTCTGATTAATGAGGCTGCTTCAGGAGTCTCGACACCTCGCTGCAAACACCCTCACCCAATCCCTCACCTTCCTCGACTCGCGAGCCCCGTCTCCACCTATCTCTTACCTCAATTTATCCTTCACTTCCATCTCTGCACCTTTTACCCCACACGCTTCCTGAATCCTCGAGCACATGTCGGTTTGTGTCCCGAAAGTTATAACAAAGTGTCTGCATCCAAACACCAGAGTCTTGAGGCATTGATCTGGTGCTTGCTTTCGACCAGGGCGGTTGATTGGCCATGTTGTGAAAACCCGGCTGAGTGAAGTCGAGGCAGAGTTGAAGTGTTGAGCTGGCGGGGGCCCCGGGGCTCTGCTGCAAACACGACCTGATTTCTCTATATTTAGTCTGGATCGTTATCGGGGCCCCGAGCCGCTACCGCCACGTCCTGGCTGAGAAGTTTGCCCTCACCAGGCAGGGGCACATTCTGCTAAACCTCTCTGGCTGTGTCGACAACTCATTGGTGTTTTGTCCTGCTGACAGTTTCTACTTAAAGCATCTGGACGACTGAGTTTTATAGATTCGGGCAGTGTGCTGACGTGATGCCGGTGTCAGGTGTGATTGCGTGTATGTGCAGGCGAACATAAAATCCGGGAGTGTTCACAGAGGCTGAGAAGACGGAGAAGTTGTCTGTGTGCTAATGAGTCAAGATGCCGGTGGTTCAGCGGCGCGGCGAGCTTCCCGTCTGTCCTCCACATTCTGCGTTATTGCAGGCAGCTCCTCTCCTGTGGTTAATGGAGCTTGAGAAGAGCTGAGAAAATAGAGCGCCTCATTCTGCACCATGTTTAGGTTCAAGTGTAGGTCAGTGATAATGGGCACCACTGCCAGCATTATTGAATAATTCAAAATCAGGAGGCTGTGCTCATTTCCGATATGTTGTGTCAGGATTTCCTATTGATTAGTCAATAGTCCCGTATTGTTCTCATAAATTATTCAAGGTCCCTTTGTAAAACCTGTCATTAGTTTACCGGGGATCTGAAGATGACTCATATTTCATGATGAAGGAACACATGGTCACATGTTGTGGTCTGTTGCTCTGTGCTGAGACAACCTTGAAGTCAGTGGGATCTTTGTTCCATTCAACAGCTAATGCACCAATCTGATATGATGTCACCTTGAATAACCGATTTGATGAATGTGTCTGTTTGAACCACAACGAATATTACGTACACGTACACGTGTATTATCTTATTATATAAACATTTTTATTTAATTATTTTACTGCATTTAGTGGCCAGATGTAAGTGGACACCCATATGATTGGCGAACATGGCATTCCACAGACCTTGGGCATCTCTCTGTTGTCATAGCAACACTGATGTCGGGTGATGAGGCCTCTGGCTCGAAGCTTTTCAGTTCATCCCTCAGGTTTTGAATGAGGTTTAGATCCTGACTGATGTCTGACTGAAGTTGTCGTTATCAAACCCTTATGACATCACTGAACGCTAAAAAAAAACTAACCCTAATCATCTCTCTCTCTCTCTCTCTCTCTCTCTCTCTCTCTCTCTCCATTCAGAGCTGTCGTGGCTCAACTGGTGTCTAACGGGCTCCTGCGTCTTCAGCCTCGTCCTCGTCCTCTTCTTCAGGGAGTCGTACGACCGCCTCTACTTGGACGTCTTCGTCGCCGTGTGACGTCGCAAGGGGGACAATAACAAGACGACAAAAGGGACTGAATAATTACTCTTTGCACAAAGGAAAGGAGAAAAGGGAGGTGAAGGGAAAGTGGACACTCTTTTATGATTTTAGGATGTAAATATATTTCGTGGACGGTGGTGATGGATTGCTGTTGTAGAACCACAAAGTGATTCCACATCAGTGTTTCCTATTTAAATGTGTTCAATTCAATGCGATGTGACTGTCTAACACGTTATTACCTGTTTTTATATGTCAGCCTGTGTTTTTATGTGAACAAATGTTTTTATTTGAACCAGGCGTGACAGACTGTTTACAGATAATGGAATATTTAAAGTTGCTCTCAGTGTCGCCGGCTGCTCCGCTCGCCATCGTCCCTGATCGTCTTTAAAATAAACTGGACAGTGTCTCAAAGCTCACGAGCCGGACGTCACTGACTCCAGGTCAGCGTCAGGCGTCGTCAATGGCACGAGGAATCGAAGGGCGGTAGCAAGAGAGAGCTTCATCAGCCAATCAGCAGGCCTGGCTGTGCTGAGTGGAAATCAACGTGGGACCTCCGGGTGTTTTAGAGCTGCTACAGACGGACCCGACGCTGTTCAGCAACACGTGAGACTTCTTGTCACTGAGAGACAGGTATTTATGTTCTCATTACCTTCTCAAGACAAATATGCAAAACTGGGCCGAGATCGATGATTGGATGACGGCTACCGACGTGGTCTGGGATTTCACAAGCCTGCGCTTTTTTGCTACCGATGAATCGTCCACGTGGAAGTCATCTGAACTGTTACATCGTCACATTTCAGATTGTTTTTGAATAATTTATTGTCATTTGTGTCCATTTCTGGGAGAATTGCTTTTTAATCAAAAGGAATAATGTTAATTTGTTTTCTAAAGTTTGTAATCATTGGTTCTCCTCAGCAGTCTGCCAGTATTTATTGGAAACGTCTCAACACTAACAACATTAACACTCAGCTGCGTAGAAAATGGTTGTGAAATCGACAAGGATGCGACACACTGAGGGAGATTGTTTGTTATTACAGTCATGAGGATTATATGATATTGTTTTGTAATTGCCAAGCTGCTCCTCCTCCAAAGCACCAGCAGGTGTCTCTGCGCCTACTGAGAGTTCACTGACAGAAACCCCTGAGGGAAAGAAAAAGAGGAGAGGAAGTTGCCATTTTCATGGATTCCTTGACTGATAAAACAGGAGCTGTGAAAGAAAGCAGCTCCGAGTCGAGAGGGAAATAACCACAAAGAAACACATGAAGACAAATGGAAAACATCTGTCGCTCACAGACAAACTTTCTCTCTGACTTGTCCATGACTTCACTTTGTGTCTCTGTCTAGAAGACGTGTTTTAATGTGATCTCCTGTGGGTTATAAGGAAACTCTGTACCGTGTTTCCTGGTGCTTGGTGTATTTTTTATTTTTTACTCTCCCTGTACAGAAGAAGTTTGTCTTTTTACCTCTTTGACGTGTTGCCTTAATTGCCCGGTGCAGTGCGTTCCGTGTCCCTCTCATCCACACTGTGACTATTATGTCTGTATATAGAGTTAAAGGTCATGTTCTTCTGTTCACTCTGCTGTTTCCTGGGCTCTGGGTTATAAATGTCCTTGTTCAGTGGAAAGGAAAAGAACAAATGTGACTAGAATATTTCCAGCACCTTATTAAAATGAACATTTTATGAATAATGACGCTTTTGTTCTCCTGTTGTTGATGAAGGTTATTATTAAGATTTTTCTTATTTAGTGGCTCGTACACTAATAATCTATTTTAAATATCTATTTCCAGTTCGTCCCAGTATAGATATGCGCATCTCAAACCTCTCAAACTTTGAGTTATGTTATTATTTTGCTTCCATCATCACAGCAGAGCTACTTACTCAAAACTCAGCTGTTGTGGATGCAGCACTTTTGCTTGTTGGTCCATTATTTCCTGTGTATTTTCTTTACAGATGCACCGACCAGACTTTAATGCATTCATTAGCTTGTTGCTTCGGTTTAAGGAAACGTTATACAACTTTTTTTTTTTTTAGCTTATAGAGGAACAAGTTGTTGGTTCCTGTCATGGGTGGAGCTCGATGAACGCTTCGAATAACTCTGATGACATCATCTAGGTTATTTTCTCAGACGTGACAAATCGTCTCGGCGCAACAGATGACATCATAGAGCTGATGTCATCGGTGGAGTAGATCAGACAAAGGCAATAATCCAGTAAACGGATCTAAATGTGCGATATCGGTGGATTTCCTCTTTAGACCAACAAATAGTAAAGAATGTTTGACATCAGGAAATGAGCCCAACATATAATAATAATGATAAACTTCTATAGCATCTTTCAAAACCAGATAAACAACATTTAGATAAAAACTTTAAAAATGCTATATACATAAAGTCTGACTTGGCTGATGTTTAAATTTTACATGGCTGAAAACTCTGGGTTCCTTCTTTAAGCATTTCAAGACCAAACACCATAAAAACATATTTTCCCTTCAGAGTATAAAATGATTCAACACGTGTCAGTCTATGTAAGATTGATGGACGGTTGCAGTCGTGAGTTTAGTTTTTTTACCTTGTTGTTTTCATGTGTCTGACAGACTGAGCCTTTAAGCAGCAGATTACTTCTGGCTCTGCTGGGACCTGAACTCATCTGCTGTGTTATTTTGGCAGCTCAGTAATGTTCTCGCTCATCGTCCCGAGGCGGGAGCAGTCAAAGCCTCCGAGGACTCCTGCCTTCTCGGAAATCGTCCTGCTCCTGTCGTACCTCAAACACGAATCACCGTGAGCGTGAGTGTGACCTGCAGCCTTGACCTCACTCACTCTTTTTTTTTTTAAACTTCCATTTAAAGCCAGCTTGTTCGGTCCCCTCCCCCTGGTGGCCCGTCCGGGGATGAGCTCATTCTCTGGTTTCTGGTGAGAACAATCATCTCTGAGTCTGAACACAGATAAACTGAATTCCAGCCTGGTTCCACTTAGCATCACTGGTTGTGTGTGTGTACATATAAAGATGCTGTGATTAATTTAACCTCATCTATATAAAATCACTTTTCCCTTTGTGATCCTTTGAACCGGCGCCATTAAAGCTGACAGCAACTCCTGACCTGGGCCTCACATTCACAAATGGCCTGACATGAGATCAGATTTGGTGGTTTCAGGTTGGGTGTGCCGCAAATGATTGCGTGGCATTTACAAAACAGGCCTGCGGGGACGTACAATTAATCCACTGTTTTATGGCGGTCTGCTTTTGGTTTTAGACGAGCTGTCACACGCATTCATCACAAATCCTGCAGCGGAAAAGAGAATCGCTTTGTTTTGACTTTTCAGTTTATTGACACAGTTTCAGCTCGTTCCTCTTCCCCTGTGTTCTCTGTGAACCACCAAAAGTCTGATGTATAAAATAACACAAACTAATTGAAAATGAACAATTTAAACCTGACCAGGCTAAAGACAATATGTTTTTCATTTAAACATTTTACTGTGGGTGTGTGGGTGTTTGTTATTTATGGTGGAAGAGAATTGAAGATAGAGTCCCAGGAAAAGTTGCTTTAAATGGTTTTAAGACAAACACTGAAAGCTGTTTTGTTTTAGCAGTGGAACTTCATAATGTGTTTGTAATGTTTCCAATCACCAAGACTCCATTGATGTGGCTTCATGTTAAAGTGGTCCGTAGGGGTTTAAAGTCATAAATATACAAAATAAGAGTCATAAAACTAAATACACAGAAAACCACAACATGCAGAGGCACAAAAATATTTAAACTTGATTTACAGTTTACTCAAACATTAAGTACAAGTTAAAATATATAGTTTTTTATGTATTAGTTCCTCAAGTGGACTAAAGCAAGAATTCAGATTTTAGTGTTTTAAATTCATGTCAAAGATAAAACCAAACAGTCAAAAATTGCCAAAATGAAAAAGATAAATAAAGAAATGAAGAAGCACAAAAAATTGATGAATAAAGAAGTTAATAAATGTACGAATAAAAATGTATAAATCTAAAAATAAATAAATGTAGATAAATATGGAAATTGATAAATATAGAAATGAATAAATACATTTACAAATGCAGAAATAAGCTTTTTTGGGACACCAGACTATATTCATAATTATATATTCATCTTTATCTATGTATTTAACGATTTTATGCATCTACGTATTTATTCACATTACTGAGTTTCTTTATTTGTTTTGAATTTTGGAAGTTTTAATAAACCAAGAGAGGAATCAGAATCCGATCAAACCCAGTTTTATCTCTACATCAAACAGAGCAGCAGCCATTTTATTTGCTTTGTGGGATGTTGTGAGAAGAAAACAACAGTTTTTACAATGAGGTCTAAACAAATACATTCATGTCCTCCGTCAAACACTTTCAGCTGGAGTTCAATCGTAATTTCCTCCTCTGGTGCTGTGGATGTTCAGGGTCTCAGGGAGCAGACGGAAACACGCAGAGGGGAACAATCATTTTCTTTTAGTCAAGTGTTTTCTGTGTTTTGGTTTATGTTGCTTTGTCCAGTCAGAGGCTGTGAGAGCTGGTTGTTTTCCTCTTTTCTCACATTTCTCCATTGTGTGTCATTCCACTGCTTGTTTTCTTTCTTCCTGTGACCAAAAACTCACTGGTGTCTCTTTTCTACTGTTGCACCTCAGGGTCTCCTTGGGCCGGCCTGAGCTCCACAAGTCCCTTAATTGACTTCTCTGGGATTATGAAAAATGAGCCGTGCTTTCAAATGGCTCATTTAGCAGGGCTGCCATCATGGCGCCTGTTACTTTATCTTCAACATATTAAAAAGGGCGAGGTGCTCTTGATGAGGAGCGATGAGCTGCGAAGGCTCAAGCTACCGGCGTTTGACAGCTGGCAGCTAATTTGCTAATTCATCACCTTTGAATTTGAGGTATTTGGCCGCTACTGTGGGAAAACACAACATATTAAGATATAAACGCTCCAGGGGTGTATCTAAAAACCAAAGGACGGACTGATGGGAGATGTAAGTAAGACGCACACCTGTGCATGTTGATTTAGTGCGTGCAGGTCTCAGGTTTATGGGCTGTGACAGTCAGGGTTTGATAAACTTGTGTCTCGAGCAACATATAAAACGCGAGTATGCTCATTATCACAGCTTCCTCTGACTGAAATACTGGCCCTGTGCATCCACACAATCATTACCTCGCAATTATATGATTCAAACTTTATCTGAAGTTAAATTGATTCTTCTGCAAATTTCATTTACAGCTCAACAGTCAAATGCTGTGGAGCGAAAAACTAAAATGTAATTTCATACTAAAGAGACTTGATAGAGAGCTTTGGAAAAAAACCTTCCAAGTCCACTGGTTTTACAGCTGAAAAAACGCTTTTTTCCCACGATGCATCACTGTAGTGTTCTCTAATAGACATTCATCATAATATCTCAGTACGAACTCGATTATTTACCTTGAAGTGCAACTGGTAACACTTGTGCAATATTTTTACAGTGCTTTGCGATGCTTATGATATGATGCTCTTATTTTACTGATTTTATTTTTCTTAGTATTGTTTGTTTATTGATAATGAATGTAGACAGATGTGTGTGTATCGTTGTTTTGCTGCTGCACAACACAGCAAATTTAGTTAGGAAGATGTGCAATGACAGTAAAACTTTCTAATTCTTTCATCATAACGTCCAAACTGCACCAACCATCAAGCTGCATACAGATGTTTCACTGTGTGGCTAAACAGATGTTTACGGACACAGTTGAACTCAACATGAGTAAATAGACAACAGAGAAGTAGTTTATTGTGGCAGCTTGATTTTAAAAGTTTCATTAGACATTCTTTTCTTCCCACAGAATACTTTATATTAAAGACGGCTCAGCCAGATCATCGTAACAAGACCTTGTTAAAGTTGTTCTTTTCTCTTGTGTGTTTTATGTTTACAGGAAAAGGAATGAATTGGATGACAGCACAGGAGCAGTATCGAGGCATTTCCGCCGCTCCCTCCCCATGTTAGAATCAAAATTGTTCAAAAGCTAATTTTTAGAGCTAAAGACAATTAATCCCTTCGAACCAAACTAATGGATATGTGTAGCTGCAGAGGGCGCTGCTGTTCAGTCAAAGTAACACAGTGTTTCTTTACAATTACCTTGAACTTAATAGCAACTTTCGTCATGTTTCAACTTTGTAACTCTGACAATAGAAGGTGCCGGTGGATTTTTGGAGTTTTACTTGAAGAGGAAGTCAAAAAAGATTTGAAAGGTCAATGGAAAAGTGATAGAAGGTCAAGTCAGAGCTGGCTGACTAAAGCTGATAAGCAATTACTCTGTCACTGATTGGGTACCCTCTGATTATTCCTTGTATCAAACTTCATGAGGTGTTCTGAGGAGATGAGAGAAAAAGAGAGGCGTCTACCTGCGGAGCCAGGTTCTGCTTGGTTGAGGCTCCTCAGCTCTAATGCAAGAAGACGTGGCCCTGACGGAAGCAGCATGTCCTCTGAGCAAGAACAATTATGATAACCATGCAAGCGGAAAAGGCTGCAGCCAGAAGAACAGCGAGACAGGCTTTTATGCAGCGGGCTGCCTATTTAAATCACAGCGCACCTCCACCACAGACGCCATTCTCTGCTGATGTCCATGGGCTTTTCAGAAGGCGTGTGGGCTCCTGTGGGCTCCCCTGTCATGATCTGCTGCTTTTTTCTGCCCCTTAAAACATAATTTACTTCC